CTTCATAGTGCGTTTTGCCTGAACTAGATCCTCCATCCTCCTTCAGACCTGAAACACAAAAAGGATCCCCTCCCTTTTTCACTCAAATACTTGTGGTTCCCAGAGTTTTTGTAGGCGAGGCTCAGCTGAAAAACAGTAACAAGTGTCTGGAGGTCAGGCCATGCGGGGAAACTGATTACCTGCCCAGGGCAGAGGAGCAGTCTCTGCCTGGAACATAATGGGCATTCAAGCAGCTCGGGGCAGAAGTTTTCCTGCTACAAAGGGGCACTTAAAGCTCCTTCCTATCCCCCATCCCACCTGTGCCCCTGTGTGTTGCACTCTGATTCCAGGAGCCACCGTCACACCTGGCCCTGGGGATATGCTGCTCCTGTTACCTTGAGAGTGGGCAGAACTGGAATCCTTTTCACTTGCTCCTACAGCACATCTGAAACCAGCTGGAACTTTTAAAGGAACTCCACCAGTGTTAAAAAGAACACAGTGAGTGACGGATGGAAATTTTTGGTGGTGAGCAAGCTGAAGTGTGTACAGAAGTGGAAATATAATGTTGTACACATGAAACTTTTATAATGTTATAAACCAATGTTACCTAAAAAAAAAAATTGGAAAAGAACGCAGGGAGGCTGTATGGGTTTAAATCTCAACTCCATCATTTATGAGCCAGGCAGCTAGGAATATTCCTTAACCTCTCTGAAACTCCATTTCTTCATCTGTAACTGGGAAGAAATAATCCCACCTTGTTGTGAGGCATAGTACTATAATTAGTCATTCAGCTGACTCTCACTCACGTTCTGTCATGGGCCAGGCATGCAAAGTAAGGGAAAGTAGTGTCTGATGGGTGCTTTTCTTTGGTTCCCGAAATGAACCTCCAACTAAATTGACCATTTCACCCACCTGCAGACCTTGTTCTGCTCATTGCTGACAGCAATCTCCTCTCAGAGAATTTTCCCCCATGTAAATTCTTAGGTTCTTTCCTCTCCCAATCCCCTTTTTAGTCTCTCCCTCCAAAAGCAAGAGTATCTACTTCTCAGGCCCTCTGGAGAAAGCAGTGACTCGTCGTTGTGGTTACGAGTTCATTGCTCCAGGAGCAGTGACATTTCTGCTCTGTTTCAAAGCCAACAACACCGAAGAAAACTGGCTTCCTAATTCAGCCTGCACACTCCACGGCTAGAGGTGAGAGAAGTTTTTCACATACGGCATTTATCGCCTATGAAAGAGGCCCGTGTCAATCTCAAGTGTTCTAGCACTATATTTTAACAGGATTCTCTGATAAACTGTGTCTAAAGTACTGGTCAGGATGGTGTGCCATCTCCAGATTAATGTTAGTGAAATTTAGTAGGAATGTCACTGCTGGGCAGGATTTTGAGGAGGAACACGATGGCTGTCCCCGAATCCTTGAAGAGCTTTGACAGAAATGTGTTAGGTTTACTGTGTTCCAGAGAACACCACCAGTATTAGTGACAGGAAGTGAAGGAGAGGCAGCTTCTCAGTTGGGGAAGAGAGAGTTTCTAAACAGAGAAGTCAGAAACAATGCTGACTTCCTTCTCACACACTGTGCTCCTCTTCGCTGCATGAGTGACAGGGACCACTTGCCCAAGATTTCCCAGGGCCACACTGATTTCATGTAATTACTTGAATTGAAGGTGATTCATGAAATTTAGAGCAAAATATAATTTTGACTTTGTGTCCCTTTTGACACATTACCCCAGGGGAAAAAAATCTTTGATTAGTTCAAGTATATTGATGTTTGGTTTGCAAACAATGGGCAATTTCTATTTTAGGTGCAAGTTCAGACTCAAAGGGTTCCCAGTCCTCAGACTCTATGATAAATAGGATGCTGGTGGTGATATAATATAAGGAAGTGCACAGGAATCAAGTTGACACTCTTTTTCCAGATTCTGCCATTGTGTGGTTTCAGCTTTGGCCTAACAGATAATGCCTAACCTCTGAAACCTACCAAAATCCCTGGAAGGAAGGGAGGGAGCAATTGGGAGAGAGCGTGAGGTTCATAAATGAACACCTACTGTGTGCTTCAGCAACTGAATGTATTTTCAACTCTTTGTCACCAAGTACCAATTCTCTAATTAGTTACTAATTAGCACTAATTTTTTAAATATAAAAGCGCTCCTACACATCAATAAGAAAAAGTCCAAATTAACAGGAAATATTCTCTTATACATTTGAAAAGATGCTCATACTCAAAATAAAATAAATTCATTTTTAAATTACAATGAGAACGAACCACCTCACACCCGTTAGGATGAGTGCTAAAGAAAAAAATAGAGAAGATAACAAGAGTTGGCAAAGATGTGGAGAATTGGAACTCTTGTGCACAGTTAATGGGAATGTAAAATGGTGCAGCTGCTATGAGAAACAATATGGCAGTTTCCCCAAAAATTAAAAATAGAATACCATATGATCCAGTAATTCCACTTTCGAGTACATACTCAAAAGAAATGAGAGCAAGGTCTCAAAGAGATATTTGCACACCCATGATCAACAGCCAAGAGGTGGAAGCAACGCAAATGTTTATCAACAGTTGAATGGATAAACAAAATGTAGTATGTACATATAAGGAGTACTATCCAGCCTTAAAAAGGAAATTCTGACATATGCTACATTGTTGAACCTTGAATACATTATGCTAAGTGAAATAAGCCAGACACAAAAAGACAAATACTTCACAATTCCACTTATATGAGATACCTAGAGTAGTCAAATTCATGGAGACAGAAGGTGGACTGATGGTTTCCCAGGATGCGGTGGGGTGGGGCGGAGGATCATGTTAAGTAACTGTCTAATGGGTACAGAATTTCAATTTTGCAAGATGAAAGGAGTTTTGGAGATGGGTGGTGGTGATGGTTACACAACAATGTGAATGTATTTAATACCACTGTACACTTAAAAAATGAGTAAGATGGTAAATTTTGTTATGTGTACTTCATGACAAAAATAATCTTTAGAAGTTACAATGAGATGTCATTTTAGCCTTCCCCATTTGTAAAGATCACAAATCAGAGAACATACTATGTTGGGAAAAGCTACATGAAAATAAGCACACTCATGTTTTGTTGGTGGGAGCATAAACATAATTTTAGGGGAGAACAGTTTTTCAATATCTGTGAAGATTAAAATTGCAATTACCCTTTGACCCTTTGGTCAAGCCATTTTGCTTCTAGGAAGATAGCTCTCTGTGATTTGGCATATGATCAAGGTTCTTCATTGCAGCAGAAAATTGGAATAACCTAAATGTCCATTGATAAGGGCTGGTAAAATAAATTATTGTCATCCAATAGAAGATACAAGAGTAATATGCAACTGTTAGAATGAGGATACTCAGAAAGTGCTGGTACAGAAAAGTCTCCAAAGGAGTGGTTAAGTGTGCAAAACCGTGCTACAGTATGCTAACATTTGTGTCTTAAAACAGAATGAAAGAAGAATATGAGTCTATGTTTTCATTTTGTCTTGCCTAAAATAACTGCAAGTAGAGGCAAGAAACTGCTAATAGGTAATAGTAGTCACTGCAGTTGTTTCTATGGGGAAAATCAGACTCCGAGGGAACAGGGTTGGGAGGGAGAGACTTGCTTTCCACTATCACCTTTACATGTTAAATTTAGTACCATGTGCAGGTATGTTCTATACAAAATTTTTTAATTATAAAAGAGGGGTTATAGTCTAGGAGGGAAGAAACATAATGGACACTTTTAGCCTAAAGCTCTGTACTGGGTGCTCTGGGAACAGAGAGGAAGGCTGTCTAGCACAGCCCCAAGGCATTAGGGATGGCTTCTAGTCAAATCACCTCCAAGGAAGAAATTTTGCTATTGGATCGGGAAGAATTGTGTATCTTCCCCTGAGCATTGTTTTGTTTTTATCTCATGGACAGGCCTATAAATTAATTCACCAATTAGGTTTTCCTTTTCACTTTGACTGTTAAAAAGCTACCAGCCAAACTTGTGCCCCGCACCACACAAGGTGGGCAGCTTTCCATAGTAAGCTTTTAGCAATGGCCTTGTACTTGGCTCCACTTTATATTCCTGTATTTGGTTTGCTTTCCCCGTTTGTCATGTTGGTCATCGTTCCTATTCTATGCTTCCCACTCTACTGCCTTTTTGGTCTAAGCTGGGGTAGGTGGGTGAATACAAAAAGACCGAGGGCAGGAAAGGAAGAAGACAGGATGGAGGTTTTAGAACAATGCCTGTCATTTTCCTTGGCTCTATCATGTAGGTTAAGTGAGAGCTCCAGTGCAGTGGTTCTCAAAGTGGGGTCCTGAGAGCCGCAGCATCGCTACCACTGGTGAGGTTGTTGGACATGTGTTTCCCGCAGCCTACTAAGTCAGAATCTCTGTGGACAAGGGCCAGGAAACTGCTTTAACATGCTCTCCCAGATGATTCGTATGATTCATACATTAAAGTATGAAAACCACAAGGAAGCCAAAGAAAAGTTGACTTCTAAACATTTGACCCACTGTACCCATGAATCGGTCACAATAATGCCAGCTAATGCAGTAAAGAACCCCCCAAATTTCATCAGCTTAACACAATAAAAGTTTAGTTTTTGCTCATGTCACAGTCCAGTATAGGTCACTGTAAGGTGTTGAAAGCTGTTTTATTCATTTGTTCACCAAAACAGCTTCTTTCATAGTGAGGCTTTGCCATCTCTGAAGCCCTGGGACCCCTCCTCTGGATCTTCTGCATCCAAGCAGGCAGGGGAAGGAGGCAAGAGAGAGGAGGCTTTAGTGCAGTATCTGGAAGTAACACCCGTCTTCTCTGCCCACAGTTCATTGGCCAAAACCCAGTCACGTGGCCAACCTAACTTGGGGGTAGAGGGATGGGGACATAGGGCATGTCTGTGGGGCTAGAAGGAAAAGAAAATGGCTTTGATGAACACACAGTGTGGTCTCTGCCACACCCACGGACCTAAGTGAATTTCAAACTCCGCTTGTCATATTTTAGTTTTCTGTTTCATTTTCTAATGAAGTTTTATCTTTTCTTTTTTAACTCTAGCACCATGGGACTGAGAAACATCTTCGTGGTGATGGCCTTCCTACTCTCTGGTAAGCACCCTTTGACTCTGTAAAATCCTAGAATCCTCCCACTGTCTCCCTATGAGCTTGACCTGCAAGCCCAGCCTTGAGACTTGGTGCATTTTACTCACTTTCTATTCAGTGCTCTGGTCTGTCCAGCGGTGCCTGGGGAGCGGGGAGGGTGGGGGAGGCCCCTACTCTGATGTGCTCTGTTCCCATCTCTAACGTTCCCAGGTTTTTAGGTAATTGCTGACAGATTTCTAAAAGTCTCTTTCCATTAGGGACCACTGGTTTCCTTTTCCCTACCTTCTCCCCGCGCCCCCACTGCCCTCTCCACCAGCCCACACCCAGAGATCAGTTGGCACTGCTTCCCGGGAGGATCAAGAAACCCAGCCCTATTCCTGTCTGCTTCAGTGCCCTTCAGCTGATGGTGTCAGCTGACTCACCATGAAGCTAAGGGGCTGAGCTCTGGGCCTCCTCTCTCGCACAGCCCTTTCCAAGCCCCTCCAAGACCGCAAGAGGGGCCTGAACAGTGTGATCATGTGTCTTAATCCTTAGTAAAATTTTCATTAGTAAGATATTTTAACCACATAAGTTAAGACCAATGTCTCTTTCCACTGCGACTTTTCTCTCCATCATATTCTTCCCCTGTTGAGTGGCCTTGTAGTGGCTATGACCATTTTGCTCTGTGTTCTGTATTCTTTTTCTTGAAGAGCCTTCCCCGCCAAAAGAAATTTCAGTAGTGTCAGATCTTCCCTGTTTGCTGCTTCTCTCTGAGTTTCAGTTTCTCCCCCTGTAAACCGGGATTGGCCGAGGTTCCTGCCACTCATCCTGTGACTGGGTGCCTTTAGTTTCTCCTGGCCCATCCCCTTCCTGCTGCTTATTTTCCACACCCTCAGCACTCAGAGGGAAGGCATCCGGTCCTGGTGTGGGGCAGATGGGGAGGGTGCGCCGAGTGTGCTATTTGCTCCAGCAGTGCTCAGGCTGCTCCTGACTAATTGGCCTGGCCATGAGCTCCCCTCCTCCCAATGGCACACACCAGCCCCTTGGTCAGTGTCTTCGTCCCTGTTGTGGGTGACAAGGAGTTGGGGTACTAGGGAAAGATGCTCCCTCAGGTCGATGCTGACTGGGGCAGGCCTTTTGTGATGTCTGCTTTCTCTGCTTAGCACCTTGGAGCTTGTTGAATCTGTGCTATAGACGTGCCAACTGGTCACTTATGTCATGACAGCAGCTCCCATCTCCCAGGGCCTGACACCTTAGCTCTTGGGGAGGTAGAAGGTATGTGGGAGCAAGAGCACAGAGAAAGGGGATGAGACAAAGCTCTGGAGAACATTGTCCAGCAGGAACCCCTTCCCATTCCACTTCTTATTTTATTTATTTGACAGATACATAGATGTAGCACTTTCTTTGTGCCAGGTCCTGTTCTAAGCATCTTATTTAAACGACATCATAACTCTCTGCTCTAAGTCTTGTTGTGATTCCCCATTTTAAACATGTGCAAACTAAAGCCCAGAGAGGTTAAGCAATTTGCTTGAGACGACACTGCCAATAGGTGGCAAAGCTGGATTCAGCCCAGCAGTATGGATTCAGCAATGTTCACTTGACGTTATGCTGCTTCTCCCAACTCCTACTAGTGAATTGTCCTTAGTAATGGGATTTGTTCTTTGGGGATTCAAACAGCTCTGATGGATGATGTGGCTGGAAACAAAGTGTGGGAAAAGTCTGAACTGAGGTTCCATTTTCCCCCCTCAAACTTTCTGACTCTGCATACAGAAAGTGAAAAGAAAGCTGAGAAACCTCATCAAAAATGAGTCCAGGTGTCACTTTTGCCTTTGTCTTGTGTTTGAAACTACCTGGACACCTCTTAACTTCTGAAAAGAGAGTTATCAATATTGAAACTTAAAAAATAACTCCTCCCCCCAAGGAAACCATTTAAGCTTTTTCGTGGTGGAGAATTGTGGTTATATTTTGACAAGTACAGATTTAAAGTGGGATAGGAAAATGGTGACACCTGATTAGAAAATAACATTGCCAATACTTCACACACCATTAAAAATAACAACAGTAACATAACAGATGCCATTCTTTTTTAAAGAATGAAAACGAATCCATTTGAATTTTATCTTTCTCCTCAGGGCACACCTCTGCTTACTGGTGAGCAGTGACCTACCTAGAGGCAGGCATCCAAAGAGAGAAAGGAGATGTAATTAGACCAGATAGTCCACAGCAAAAATGCAGAGCTGAATAATTCATTTGATAGCAGAGATAAAACAGCACAGTGAAATAATTCTGTTTCTCCTTTTTCCCTTGTATCTTTTATGTCCTTCCCTAGTCATGGAAATTAGACATTGTAGTTGCCACCCCTGCCCATGAGACAAAAATTGGATGAGACTTAAAAACCTAAAAGGGTGAGAGGGCAGCCATGGACTTGCAGAATTAGATTGTAACTTATGTTTTGTATTAATAAAGCTGAAGGACTGTCGAAGTGCCACTTGCGAAGGCGCCTCTAACTGTCCAGCTCTTTTTGCTGCTATCGATCACCTCCGATAACATTTTTTTTCTGCCCACCCCCTCTTTATTTCTTTTTTTTAACATTTTTTATTGATTTATAATCATTTTACAATGTTGTATCAAATTCCAGTGTTCAGCACAATGTTTCAGTCATTCATGGACATATACACACTCATTGTCACTTTTTTTTTCTCTGTGAGTTATCATAACATTTTGTGTATATTTCCTTGTGCTATACAGTGTAATCTTGTTTATCTATTCTACAATTTTGAAATCCCAGTCTATCCCTTCCCACGCTCCACCCCCCTGGTAACCACAAGTCTGTATTCTCTGTCTGTGAGTCTATTTCTGTCCTGTATTTATGCTTCTGATAACATTTAAAGCTGGAGTCAGAGTGTTATTTGGAAAATCAGTAGCTTACACATCAGGACTAAGTGTCTTCCTAGTTTAACTTTTGATGGTTGTTCTCTTATTGTCTGGAGATTCTCTGGATCCTAGGACCTCTCATTTCTCTTGAAAAATACCTCTGGTTCAGTTAAAGTACCTAGAATATAGTTGGGGGTCTTCCTTCACTTTAGGATTTACATAAAATTGTCTCAGACCCTCACTTCACAACCTGTGTGAAGGTCCATTGTTCTGCCCTCCGCCCACCAGATTTTTGCAGGTTCCCACGTGGGTGTTTGCATGAGGATTATGTTTATATGGTTACTTTCACTCCCACTTCCTGTTGCTGTTGGTAGTGGTCACTAAAAATCACAGAGGTGAACAGATAGTTCAGACCTAATTCCCAAATTCCCAAAGAATTGTCATGGAACCTAACAGTCCTCCTATTCAAGTCACTCCTTTGTGTTAAGCTACTGTTTAAAGTGCCTTTGAAATACATGTATGCTCCCCAGTAGGGAGTAACTTACCCCCGAAATAGTTAATCATTTTAAGAGTATTTAATAGGTTCCAGAGAGAACGGGCTGCCAGACAAGTTAATTTAGTGGAAGATGGTCACTGAATAGGCTTAGTGTAGGGTTGATTGGGAGCAAGAGTGAGATTTGTAAAGAACAGAGAGGATCCAATGGCAGACAGACTGACAGACTGCTCTGGGAAGGAGAAAGAGTTTGAGACACTGGCTTGTTTTTCCTTTGTGAAAGGAGATCTTAATACCATTTCCAGAATATGCAACTCAGGATTCTGGCCCCCTCAGTACCGCTGAATTTATGGAAACAAAAACACGTGTAGCCCTTCCTTTATAGCCATTGTGGGCCACAGGACCAAGTTCCAGGACCTCAAAATTATGAAAAAATCTTTCAACACCCTCTAAAAGTATTTACCCAGTCTTGGTTTCACTTTCATTCTCTCTTTCATTCCTTTTTCCTACAGATGTCTCTATTAAAGCCACTATTTAAAAATCACTTTTCTGGTACTTACTACAGTGTAACAGACAAGAGAGTAAGAGAAGCTGTATGTAGTTGTGATCAAAACTAAATCCCTGAATGGGTTTTATTCAACATTGTTTCAAACACTTTCTCAAGTTTCTAAATGCTTTTCCTTTGCATGGGTTTTGAAATTGTATCAGTCCACTGAGCTGAAATGCTGTAGTTTGGTTTATTTGTGTGTGTGTGCGTGTGTTCTGTTCATTCAGAAGTTAGTGCCCCGTTGTCTTCTTTGGTTTATAATTACTAAGGAGCTTTCATTCTAATTGTCATTGTTTTATAGGTATTCTTTCTTCATTTTTTAAAGAATGAAGAGAGTCAATTCAATTTTTCCTCTTTGTAAGTTTGAAAAAATATTTTATGCTTTTTGCTCAGGAGCTTCACCACAATATTTCTAGGTGCAGATTTCTTTTCTTTTCTCTTACTTGGTACTTAGAATGCACTTTTGATCTGAGGACTCATGTCTTTATGAATTTTGAGTATTCACAATTTTTGTCTCTTTAAATACTGTTTATCTACCATTACTCCCATTCTCTTCTTCTAGAAACTACTAGAGTTTCTCAGACCAACTCTTCACGACTCCATGTTTTCCCACATTTTTATTTCTCTCTCTCTCTCTGTGCAGCACGCCGGTCAAGGATCAGATAGATCAGGACAGACATGAGGGTCTTCTCACTGTTGAGGGGGCCCCAGACAAAAGGCTCCAGCACTTTCATGAACCCTGAGGAGAGGGGCAGGGAAGGATGAGGGGGAAGGGCTAGGAGTCAGCTGGGGAGAAGTAAGTCTGCATGAGGAAAAGTGTCTCCAAGGTTCTCCTTCCTTCCTACCATAAGGAGGTCTCAACAGAGGTGCCTGAAGATCTCTGCCTATGGTCCCAAATAAAGAAACCAAGGAATGAAGGTGCTTGCTACAGATGTAAATATGTGAAAGCACATGACTGCCCGGGGGAGCTGAGTCCTTGACTGCAACTCCCTGTAGAGAATGCAATGCCTTCTTGGTTGTGCAATAAAACTGATGTGGAGAGGCCTTGAGATAGACTGAACATGGCCTTTTGGAGGAATGACAAGGAAGCCAGTATGGCTGGGGCAGAGTAAG